TAGGCATTGTTATACAAAGTGGGCCTAAAATGTGCTGAGAAATTAAAAAATGTAATAAAATACAGGGTGTTCCATCTGAAATAAGGAAATTGCCTTCAACTTCCGGTATAACAAGTAGAGACCGGAAGTTGAAAATATTTTAGTTGAGAAGGCCATTTTGTAAAACATACTACCACAAAATTTCAAGTTTTTATTTTGAATCGTTCTCCATATATTCCTAACGAACGCTCGTCGTGAAAGACCCTGTATACTAGTGTATATAGTTCATTTGAAATGACGATTTTCTGATTTGATAGTTCGAAACAGTCTATTGTAGAGAATGCTACCGTGGCCGATGGGGGTTACACATACAATGGATATTGAGTTGAAGGAAAAGAAACCCTCTTCCTTTGGAACAACAGGTTTTCACAACATGAGCTGAGATGTTGAATGACCTTACTAAAGTTTGAATAGTATCTAGGAAACCTAGGCAAAGATTTAAGGCGACCTTCCAGAGTACTAAACTTTGTTTCTCGGAACAATCCCTTCTCCAATTCGTTAATGGATCAGAAGAAGAGCAAACACATGAAAAAAGAACTATTCTAGATGCGCAATGAAAATAGTTCAAGCCAATCTACAACAAGCTAAGAGGGCTCCGACCCTTTATGCTGTGAGTTTCATGATCAAGGGAATGAAGGAATTGAAATGAAGAAACTACTCTAAGAGCCGAAGAATTCGGCAGGTTTCTCGACAGTTAATATGAAATTACCTGAATCACGTGAGGGAGCTGAAATCCCTTTACCTAAGTCTACACGAAGGCAAGTCTTTTGGGACAAGTGGACTCAAATTAGAAAATGAAAGAATAATCATGATCATCTTCAACTCCTTTATCTACCATATTCGCGTGATATGTATGGATGATTCTGATGTAAGTGGCAGGACCTGCATTCAAAACGAAATTTCATCTCAAAGATATAATCTCAAGAAGAATATTTTCAATCCAACATAGGCTTACACGGCCAGAGTCACGATTACAGAGAACGAAATACTGAGTAGCAGATGAAACTATTCAAAAGTAGTAGGGAGCTTCCGAAGGAAGTAAGAAAGAAATTATGTTCAAAATCAACTCTCTAACAAAGATGTATAGATCATTCATATAAGTTACTTTCACCTAGGTACAAGTGAAGACCAAACATTATTTTCCCCCAAAAATAAACGTCTTTCAATATAATTCCTTTATGCATAATTTAATGTTCAATCACCTATCGATATGGGGAGTGGTCCCGCATATGCCGCCCTCTGAATGTTAATGACCTGATGATTGTAACCATCCTCAGACTGAAACAAGCTAATAAGTCTGATGTAGTCCTTCTCGACCATCAGGTAAGACGATATTTGACAAGGAGATCTCGCCTCACCTGTACGAATATTGTCCGAAAAAAAGAAGAAAAATAGATGAAATATCAGTTTTTTTTCGAGCTCCACATATTTTATCTCTTTATTGCAGTCCTTGGTGGACTAATGCCTTCTCTACTCACGAATGTCAGGGTCATGTTTGTTTACCGCAGTTAGGCAGGAATCTTGGCCAGAATAATGCAGAAGGCTGTCATTCTTGATACATTGCATAATATGCTTGGGGAACATGACTCTCGGATCCAATGATCACTTAGGTCATGTTGTGGGGAGTGGTCAATGATTGATGGTGCTGATGCGCCCTCCGAATGTTTCGGGGCTTCGATCAGGGCGACCGATCATCGTAACCATTTCGGATAATGATAATAATAGTAATATGAGCAGATACCATCAAAGGAAGGTGTTGCTGGCTATAAGTAGAAGCAATATAAAATATTTCATTTCAATGAACCAGTATATTAGAGATTGTCGTCTTAAACCAGATGTTACTATGGAAATTAAAAAGATATCTGAATTAAATAGTTTTATGACAAAATGGTAGGGAAATAAATTTCAGTTCATATCATTGAAATATAAGAAGTATATGATATACAATTATGGTTATATGAACAAAAATTATGCTACAGTTATTTAAAAATATAATAATGAAGTTTAATTTGAAAAATATGGAGTACCACAAGGTACAGTGCTAAAACCACAACTTTTTTCATTATATATAAATAGTTCACTTACCATCCATGACAAATAGTGAGCTTCGCTGATGACACTGCCATTCTATACTCTGCAGAAACCTGGAAGTCTGAAAATAAAAATGGAAAACTATCTGTGAAATAATGTCGATTGGTTTGACCATAAGTTACTTACCGTAAATTTTGAGAAAACTTTTTATTTATACAGTTACAGAACCAACTTACCTACATTCAAAGAACTCACATTGAGGAAAACTAATCAACAGATTACCATCAAACAAGTAGAAAAAGCCCGATATCTAAAAGTTGCAATCGATTGTTATTCAAGATGGAACCATCATATCGATGGAATAACTAAAAGTTTGACACCAATGTTATATAGATTAAAACGCTTCAAAATAATATTAGATACTCGTTTCCTTGTGGAGTCACGACTGCGATATGGTATCCTTAGCTGGGGTTATGTTCTTAATACCCATGTTCAAATACTTGAGATAGTGCAGATATACGTATTTGGTTTTTCAGGTCAGATGGTAAGAGTACGACTCTGCCGAACTCTAAAAACCTGATTCGGTTCCCAGCGGTGCAGGCACAAAGTATATGCTTCTACTGTTTCATCGTTAATGAGGTAGTTGGATAGTGAAGGTGCAAAATTTCTACCTTGATACCCGCGACAACCTTTCCTTATGAGGGTTTTTGCACGTCAGCTATATCTGACGATGCCTTAGATTCAACCGTGCAGGACTTTTTCGCCTCTGGTTTTGGTGAATCATCAATTGAGCGCAAACGTTTGCTCATAGGGGGTTTGTTCCTCCACCTGAGACAGATTATGCGTAGGCTGCTCAAGAATTTGGTGCGAGGCGGTTTCATAAGGTACACCGCTCTTGAGGAGACGACTCGGTCGTTTTCTGGCTGTACCACCAAACCTTTTTTTTAGGTTCAGTTATTGGATCAGGAGTTGGATAGTTGAGAAGCTCTGGCTCCTGATCTAAATTTACAGGGAGGTCAGTTGGAGTCGTAAGCTCGACATCCATCTCCTCTGAGACTCGCTCCTGATCTGAATTTACAGGGAGATCAATTGGAGTCGTAAGCTCGACATTCATCTCCTCTGTAGACTCAGCGTCAAAAATAATTTTTAAGTTTACTCTGTCCATAAAAGTCCCAAGAAGGACAATTACAATACAGTCGTGACAAGGCGCATTACCTTGACAAGGCGATGCTACGACGAGAGGGCGCCCGGTATCTCGAAGGTTCCGTAGAGACAGCTTATAAGCTCAGTGTAATTCATCCCCTCGGTACGGATACACACACCTTAGGATTGAGCCATCGTTGGATGCCATTCAGGTAGGGAATAACAGAACCACAAGTAGGATTATGTCATTCCCGTATCCAGTGGGGCTACGTGGAAGCAGGCATCGATGGCCGGTTTGCTCAACCCCCACATCCCAAGCCAATGCACTTGCCAAAAACAGCATGCCCAGTGGTTCAGGCAGTGAAATATGAACAAGGACAGCCAACCCGCCAAGTTATACTTTACAACAATTTTCATAGGTAAAAATAAATACACCCTTCAACAGTTAAAGCATAGTTATACTATAAGAAACAAAACAAAAATATTGGTACAATTACAGGCGCCAAAAAAATCGATGGGACAACGATGTTTAATTTTCTTAGCTAATATATTCTATAACTCTCTAGACGATATGTGAAAAAATAATCTAATGAAAGTCAATTCGATACCATTATTAGAAATGAACCATCACTATAGAAATGAACTGAGTTTTTGCTTCTCCTCTCATTGTTATTCACTTTTTCTGAAAATATTGTACATATTCACAATAAAATACTGTTCGAATATTACATAATTACAATAAGTAGAAAATTCTCAATGTTTATTACCCATTATCTAGGGCAAGCAATAGATTGATTTGTTTTTTTTTTGCATTTTATCTGAAATTGCATACGATGTATTTGGAAATTCTTTCTATTGCTGGTAAATAAACATTGTTATTATTATTATTAATAGAAACATAACTTGCCAGCTATGAACTTATTCTGTTAGCCCTTTGAAAATCTCTGGGTCAGAGTGTAATCCGATTTTCAATATGTCTGCGACAAAATTAACCCAAAAATGGAATTTTGAATATTGCGATTGTTTTCGTGTATTTCTCAGAGCAAAAGAGCTGAAATCCGTGTTTCCTACTATTCAATAGTTACCGTCAAAACAAATTAACCGACTTACTGCTCACGATATCCTTATGAGAGACATATATATAACGAATGGATTTGAGATGGTAGTATGTTAAGGCAATAACAAATTGGACTGATTTGAGATAAATGTGTAATCTTCTATCTCCAACTGAGACTAAATGACACCATCATATCTTTTCTTGTTATCTATAAATCCAAAAACGAACTTCCATATTGAAAAAAAAACTTGATACGAATACATGTAGTCAAGTTCTTAGCTTTAAAAGCTTTACCAAGACGTTATTCAGGAGATCTACAGAAGACTCAATCTCCGAATATCAAGGATAAACGAGGCTCCACAAGGCAGTCCGTTGCAAAGCAAAGCTTCGACATCGGCCACCAAACCAGATTCGTCCTTTGACTTCCACTGTAGCTGTCACTGAAAGGCAATTAAATTAATTTGTGATTCAACACCAGATAGCGAGTTTTTGACCAACCATAGGTCTTATTATGAAAGAAAGCAGTGGCTATTCAGAGTAACTCAGTGCAGAGAGTCATACCAAAGTGATCATGAAACAATGTTTTCTCAAAACTTTAGCACCCTGTAATTTGTAGGTTGAACTCTTCAGATTAAAATATATTTTCCGGATTAAGTTATTCGACATGATGATGACAATATTAGTAGCATATTATCAAAAAACACTCTTCATTGAATTATATCTGTCATAGGAGAGAAGAAATTCAAATTGGATGAGCTAATACCCATCGTGGTACAGTTAAGGAAGGGAATCAAGGACTACGGATGTTATGAGGATTTCATAGAATGTCTCAAGTTGTATGACAAGAATGAAAATGGTTTTATGCAAGCTGGTGAACTGAACCATTCATTATTAACATTAGGTAACTATGCAGTGATAATTCGTAAAATCGTTTTTGCACATCTCATTTTGTTATTATAGGTGAAAAATTGACAGACGCACAAGTGGAAGAACTATTTGAAGACTGCTTAGATGAAGAGAACGATGATGGTGAAATACCATACATTCGTAAGTACCTAATCTGTTAAATAAGAAAGAGCACAATATTATTGTTTGCATGAAATATTGTTGGATCGCAAATTGGGTTTTCAAACCCAAGCTTGAGTTTTGGTAGGTCCAAAACATGATTAACGTATTGAAAAATTACTTAATTGTGACATTTTCACTAAACAGTTTTACAAAAACTTTGAGGTACTTCAAATTGTAAAATGAGGTATATTAAGCATTGAATATGTAGAATAAAGTTAGAATCCACAATGCCGGAAAATACTTTCCGACAGCGTCTAGTCAGGCGAATTTTGAAACAGCTCAATATCAACAAGGCGTCTGGTCATGATGAAGTACCCGTCATCGTACTTAAAAAGTGCGCAAATGAACTCGCACCATTATTTTGCAGTCCTTTCAATCTGTCTCACAAAAAAGGGTTTTTAATCAAGAATTCAATATACCGCTTTGCTGACGACAGCGCACTTGTCTCGTAGTTCCATTTGGATTCCAGGACATCAGCTACGGAGGCACATCTTCACCTACAGCAGGAGGTTGCATATCGCAATGAGGATCTAGAAGTGATTTCGGATTGGGGTGAAAGTAACCAGGTTCAATTCAATGCCACAAACACCCAGGCATCGGGTATTTGTGGCAGAAGATAAATGTTTTCGAACCGGATATAATAATGTCAGGTCAGACAATTCCGCTTTCTAGTTCGATAAGTTTGTTGGGGGTTAAAATGGAGACCAATATGTCATGACACAATCATGTCGCTGGAATTGCAAAGGCTGCTTTTCCAAAGCTTGGAACACTGTTCCAAACCAGAAAACTGTGCACACCTCAGCAACTTTTGATGCTTTATAAAGCTAGATAAGACCTTCTTTGGAGTATTGTTTCCATGTATGGAGCTCTGCCCCAAACATACCCTGAAGTTGCTGGATTCCACCCAGAAAAGAGTTATCCGCCTGATTGGAGTTGCACATCACGTGCAACCTTGATAGCCCGGAGCATCAAAGAAAGCATCACGGGAAGTGTTCAAGTGACTTGGCATATCTGATTCCACCAAGAGCGGTACGTATCAGAAATACGCGACAGACTGTGGCTGCTCATCATTTTAATGTTCACCTCAGTACACCTCGAAATTCACTGTTCAAGAACTCTTTCATCTGGAGAACTGCGTTTATGTGGAATAATTTTCTTGAGGAAGTTTTTCCAAAGGGATTTAATCTCCACCAATTCAAATCTAATGTGAATCGCTACTTTCGCACAGGCTCTGCTGTTAGAGCACCTTAAGGATTTTCCTGTTGTGCTTGTATTTATCTTTAAAAAAAGTGAAGACACGACCGAAGAAGCCATTGTATGGCGAAACACTTGCTGCGTTTTTGTAAAACTGTCTCAAAATGAAGTGTTTTTTGAATACGTTAGTTATGGAGTTTCATGAAGTATCGGCCAATTCCATCATATATCCAGGACATGACATTTACATATAGTAAGGGGGCATACTTGAAGACTGCCTGTGAATCATATAATTATATAAAAAAACGATTCGTTCAGGCCTATCTCAACTCACCTACACTGTAGGTTAATGGAATGACACCTAGCAGGAAATAACTACTCCCCTGGCTAATACTACGAAGGGCGTTGGATTATATCCGACAGATGTCAGTGGAGGTGTCGGAGAAGTAACATGACATTCAATTTCTGTGTAAACTAATATTTTTCATAAACTTTTCACTCAAAAATAATCAATAATGGGTCACCGATTAGATATTTTTCTGTCAAGAGCTCTAGATCTTGTAATGGGATAGTTTGTGATTGATATCAGAGATAAAAAGCGCTGCATGCATCATCCAACACCTGTTTCGATCTGCTATCTTTAAAAAATGAGAAGTGGAGATGCATTCCTATTTCCTTTCTTCTTTTGCCAAAACGCCATCTATGGGAACGATAGAATACTTAAATCACAAATATGAAAGACTTTCTCTATCGCACACTCCAAATCGTTGCCTTTTGTAGGCAACTCAATCTTGAAGTAAATGATTGCAATTTTGGTAGGGAACTCTAATTTTCTGGAAAATATGATAATAATCCCATATTATTGAATTACAATGTACCTCTCTATAGGTGAACTGACAATTTGTTGAGCACTTTTTTAGTTTATCAGTTACAAACAAACAAGTATTTTCTGTTTCTAATATTAGTTTGCACTATTTGAGATACACGAACACTCTGCGGCTGGTAACGAATTCATTAGTTTATGAATGTGTCAACATTGTAATTTGTCACATATCCAATATGCTCAAAGATTCATTTTGTGTTTCAGTATATTTATAATTCTTTGCCCAAATCAGTAATTTGTTGAAGATCTTCGAATATTGATTTTGTAAATATTGTCAAAGATTGAATTTGGATGCTGGCCATCCGAATGAAAATGGACATTTTGATGTAAGTGTGTATCAGTTATGAAAATGAAAATCACGATTCAAAATCGAATGTATAATGAATTGAAATTTTTGTGAGAAAACATCAAGCAAGTAACAACTCATTCTGTGAATATCTTTTCAGGTTATCATAATTAAAACTAGGTATCGATCTGCACATTTAAAATAAAATACCCTATAGATGAGTGATTATTTCAATTTCGAGAAGTGATTTTTATCGTATTTCATGAAAAAAATTCGCAAAATCTGTTTGTTTTAACTTGTTTTATTTTGTCATTAACCGTGTCAGTTATTAACAAATTATTGTTTTTTATCAATTACTCAAAAATGTTCAAGCCTATTGTAATGATATTACATTCAGAATGAAAAGATGAGGATACAAATTACTGGTTCCTTGGCTATTATCTTTTCTTTAACTTATTTTTGAGACAGAAAAGTAGTTCTCTCCACGTCTTCGAACCATAAAATATCTAAAAATGTGTTAGATTTTCTAATAATTTGACAAAGTGGTGAGTGTAGTAAAACTCAAAGTACATTGAAATTAAAATACTCTTTTTTTGACTCTGCTACTTTGACTACGAAGTCTCCATTTATGTGATTGACAGAAACATCACTGATGAGACTTATGATTGGTCGAAACAGCGCTACCTGGTATTGGAAGACGTATGTTTTGTTTTTTGATTTCTGTCTCCACTAGTTGCTTCGCAGTGAAAGACAGTCGACAAATGTCGTTCGGCGGGCGATGTCAAAGTTTGGATTTGCAACGGACCGCTTTGGGAGCTTCGTTTATCTCTTATGGTGAAGGATTGAGTTTTGTTTCGATCCCACAGATGGTGTTTTCGCAGGGAGAGATGTCATCGGTTTCATTTTCAGGCTTGTTTTCATTTTGGGACAGACGGATGGTTCAGCCTAGCATCATCGATGAAGTTTTGGCGGGTCGGAACAGCGCTGTTTGGTGTTTGATCATGAGTTTATAGTTGCCTTACAGTGAAAGACAAAAGCCGAATGCCGTTCGGCGTTCGATGTCGAAGCTTAGCTTCGCAACGTCTTCGCAAGGAAATATATCATCTCTACTTTCAGGCTTGTCCTTGTTAAAACAGATGGGTGGTTTTGCATAGCACCATTGATGATAATACGGCGGGTCGAAACAGCGATGTTGGATCATAAATTCATCTAGTTGGTTTGCAGTGAAAGCTAGAGGACAAATTTCGTTCTTAGGTCGATGTTGAAACGTGGCTTCGCAACGGACCACCTTAAAAGCCTTGTCAATCGTTAATTATCGCGGATTCAGTCTTTTTTAGATCCCTCAGATTGTGTCTTCGTAGGGGGAGATGTCATCGCCTTCACTTCCAGGCTTGTTCTTTTTAAGACAGAGATTATGGCCGGGTTGTCTGATGGAACGCAAGTTTTTCTAGCTTCAAGGATGTTGAGGTACAGATGATTTGTCAAATTGTCTTCATGCAATTGAGAACCGATAATGGTATTTCTAATTGAATCTGCCCTATTTTTGATTCTCTGTGTTTACGCCTTTCTTGAAATATTCGTGGACTTTCCCTACTTTAGTGGTGACAATGTTTATTTACATTTCCACCCAGAAAAAAATCGATAAAACAGATTTTTGGCAGGATATTAGGGATGATGCTAACTAGGTGATACATGGTTTTATCAGAACCATTTTCATACAACTCTAAAAGAAACTACATTTTATGGCAATGAAAATTATGTATTTTGGTACATTTTTAACAGTAGCAAATGTTGTTCTGTTACTATTTGTGAGGAACTGGTGGGCTCTGCAACAAATATTTGTATAACCTCCACTCGAACATCTTCATTTAGGATTCCAAGTTTAATTTTTTTCTACATGTAATCCTGAACTAGTTTAAGGAAACTTTGCCACGAAATCAAGAACATATCTATGACTCACTTGAAGGTCTGATTTTCTTTGACCACTTTCCAACTTTTCCATTCCTTGAATAAAAATCATCTCAATTCGTTATTGAATATATTGAAGTACAACTGAGTTTTAATTGAATTTATTGAATTTTCTCCGCTACTGGCTACTTCAAAATATTTCAAAGGTAGAGAAAGTAACAAAAAATAAAGCTGTATCTGCAATTCTGCTACCGCTTGATGAACGCAAAGGAACTAAGATCAAGATATAACTATTCAATTACTTCATTTCTACTGAAGGCAAATAGTAACTTTATAACTTATACTCTAAGCACGGAAAAAGTCTTATGAGTAAATCATAATACCATTGGAAAGGGAATTAGAAACCTTATTGAAGTGATATGTCATTTGGTACCTTTCCTATTTGATATTGATTGTAATATCCACCCCTCGCAGAGGAACGACCTACAAATATTTTTTGAAAATAAAATTGACTTCTCACATATAGTCAGTGGGTATAATTGAAGACTGGCTATAAATCAAATCATCTAAAAAAACAATTCGTTCAAGCCAGTCTCAACTCCCTACACAGTAGGTTAATGGACTGACACCTATCAGAAAACAACTACACCTCTGGCTAATACCACGAAGGGCGTTGGATTATATCCTACAGGTGTCAGTGCAGGATTCTTCACTGAAGTTATTCCTGCATATGCTATTGGCGATACAACTGCCGCAATAGATTTTAAATTATTGGAACACACTTTCAGACCGGTTTCGGGCTGTTTGGCCACTCGTCAGTGCAAGGCAGTGTATATCACCAACATAAAGTCGATGATTTCCGATACTTGAAAATAGAATTCCTTGAACTAAGTAGGAGTAGACAACAACAACAGGTTTGTCATCGCCTCATCTGCCTGTGAACGAGGTAACCACCTGTCTGCTTTCCAATAAGAGTTACCACAAACCATTTTAGTGAAAATAATCAAGTTGCATATTATGTAACCTGTATATATTATATGTTTCAAATGTCAATTGTTGGCTGCTTTTTCTATTTGTGGTCATCATAATTTATCGAAACCTCTTCGGGTTTACATTATAGATACATCAAAGGTTGACCAGTGATAAATTGCTTTATAATAGATATTTATCAAGATTTTCCATATTAGTTTTTTTATTCACATCACAATTTATTTTCATCCCCCTGAGTGTTTTAGTGAGATGGGATTCCTGGTCAATAGTTATGATTTGAATTATATTCACAGTTTCAATGGAATGTAATCAATGCATTCAATTGAATAGTTTGGTTAGTTAGTTTAGTTTTTTAAATCAATCCTATTTTTTTTTGGAAATATAACTTTGAAAACTGAGTAATTCTGGTTAGATCACTTTCAAAACTCCTCGCCAGTTCAGAAGCCTGAAATGTTATTTTTTATTCAGTCATAAATGCTGCAGAATATCATATGAAATTTTGTGAATCACTCTAGAGAAATTCTAAATTATTCGAGTATCTTACATGACCCATGTATATTTTCAGCTTTCCTGAGAAGAATGTGCGAATTGGACCCTCCATTGAAACCACAGAAGAAGAAGTGAACCAGTAATTACTCTTTTGATAATGCTGCCTGTGCTTGTGAATATGCTACATAACGCTGCTTGAAAATAACAAATAAACAGATATACACTGCCTGGCAGTATTTGTTTCCTATCATTTATAAATAATATTTGTTTATTTAGACGCTCTATAAAAACCCAATTAATTTAACACATCATTTAAATTGAACTTTCATGAACCGGATGTGATGGAGTCAAATAACTGTGTTTATTTACTCAGTAGTGGTTTGGTATGATTTCCTTAGAATCTGCTGATAGGATTGTGAAGTGGTACTGTTGATAGTTTTTCTTGAATCAGTAGATTACAACATTAATCAAATTGGATACTCGTATAACCTATTTTATTGTGCCCGTGAATGAAGAAACATCTGGCTCAGTAGTATATTTCAGTTTATTGACTTTTCAAACAGTTTTACTGACAAAAGTTTTCTAGGAGTTCGTAAACAAACAAACAATAGTACAACACTAACATTACATATTCAAACAAATCTTTGGGAAACTTTCGAAGGAAGGATAAAAGCAATCAAGTTAAAAAACTACAAAGATGTGTAGATCATGCATAGGAGTTACTTTTAGAAAAAGTCCCCACGAAACAACTACTCCCACATGAACATTGAATTACACGAATTACAGATGCTCCCATGGAACAAAGCCTAAGGAGCATGAAGGAGCAACAGAAAAGAAGCTGTGAACCTCAACTGAACATGGAATCCCAGTATAAGTTCAAGAATAATATGCAGCTTGACGGCAGGTTGAAAAGAGTCGACAATTTATCTAATCCAGATACAGGTATTGGCACACCAAACTACCTGAGTCAACATAAATGCGCTTTACGCAGCCATAATATCCAGCCATCGAAGATAACTCAGACTGTATAAACCTCTGAAGAAGCTATCCACTTGTGTCAGCGAAACGTCATGAAGAAAATCCAAAAATCGACGGTCTTCAGTCCCGAAAAATAGTCACAGGATCTCATATGAAAATTCAATGTTATGGTGGGGACAGGAAATATAACAGTCTTTAAGAAGACTTGCTCGGATTTCTCAACATTATGAGAATATGTTCCACAACTTCGTCTACATTTTATCTTCTTTGTAACTCTTACTCTATTCATTGACTCAAATTTCTCCCAACCGGTATAGAAAGTAAGAGCATCAGTCGACACAGCTTCAAAGAGGGCTTATTCATAGCAGCGTATACTCAGGTGATCCTTGGAGAAAGTCTAAGGTCAGCTAAGGACTCCAGAGAACCTGTAACAACACCCGGAGTATTCCGGATGCGGATCGGTGTATATTGGAGCCTCAAAAAGAAGTATAGGTACACGTCTCTCTGAACACAAGAGAAATTGTCTCCTCAGTCAAATCGACAAATCAGCTGTAGACGATCATGATCTCAACAAAGAAGACACTCACATTATCTCATACGAAAATATAGTATGTAATATCTGATAAAACTCAAAATTACTATCTAAGGCTATATATAGAGGCAATAGAAATTCAAAAACATAGGGATAATCTCAATAGAAAAAAAGAGGAAATGAACATTAATGAAATCTGGCTACCCATCTTAATAGTACACAAACAAGGTCAGGTAATCCAATTGAGAGAAACCAAGGCACGCCCAGTGATCTAATATAAAACCGGAGTCAAATACCAGCATTGTACAACCCTGAAAAAGCATAAGCCTATAGCAGCGCCCTCTTCATAACCACATCACAAACTAACTTTGTATTAACCCAAAATTGAACGTACGTTTTTGACTTGAGCATTGTAGTTTCTGCGTTGGGAACAACAACTCTATCACCAACTCGGGCACCCAGGAAATGAGGAAAAATATTGATTTTGTGTTCTGTTAAATTTTCAAGTCAACAAGAGATTAATTTGAATCTGTAAACGAGAATGTTGAAATTTTACACATAGCATCCAAACACAACACGGAATAGAAGGATCCAAGGACAAAGCGTATTACAGTTATAAACCCCATTTCTTTTGAATACAAGAAGAAAGATTTTGAGAAGGCTTTGTGTAAAGATAGAATATAGAAAAATTAGGAAAATCACTTTGAAACTGTACATTTTTAAAAGGTCCTAAAAATAATTTGACGAGGTGATAACATGAAATAGTTCTATTGAAACTGTCAGTTCTATTGAAACTTAGAACTGTTCTTCCCCAATGCGTTGAAAAGATATAGAGCGACCTTACAGAAACATAAGTTTCAACTTTCACCCTCCACTTTTAATACTCGATGAATTAGACAAAGGTCTGTAGGTCTTTGCCATGCCATTTTATCTTTCAGAAACGTATCCTGCATGAATATACTGTAAAAAATTGTCGATAATATAAATCAATTTTCACGAAATCGGCTTTGTTCTGGGATGACTCGCTTTCTTTGTTCTAAAAAGTATAGCAACCTCGCATTCAAATTTCAATTGGGAACATAAGTATATTATTTTATTTCCGACATAGTGATCCGCTCAGATTATTGGTTCAATCTTCAGATCACCAGAAAACTCGATATTTAATGTTCAAAGTCAGAATTTGGAAGTATGTTACCTGTTACCTGTTTTCATGTTGAGATACTCACTGACGAAGTATGAACAAGATGTTGATTGAAATAAAAATCTCTTCCCAAATACTTCAGTTCTGCAATGAATGTATTTTTCAAGATTTTATTTTTTATTTATGGACATAATATACAATATTAAACGAATGTTTTTTATATTTTTACATAAGATAATAAAATAATTGAAAATAAATACATTGCGTTTCAGCATTTTTTTAAATAGATGGTGTGGTGGTGGCAGTGCCCAAGAAACTTGATCATTGGTCTTCAGTTTGACTCCTGGTGGTACGTTGTTCGAGTTGGAAAAGCCATATTGATAAACAGCACATTTTCAGGTGACTAAAAAATATCATGTTTATGAATGCGTTGGCATCTCTGACGTGAACACTGAAAGCGATAGGCAGGGCATATGTTAGTAACAACATCTATGAACAATAATACGGTGAGCAAATGTAAGGAAAGAAGAATTTTTTTTCAACAAATCGTCAATCCTAGTTCTATTCATTTGTATTATTCATCTCCAGCAACTGGCCTCTACTAAATTTAATTCACATACTATAGAAAAAATGATTTTAAATACTAATTAGAAAGATGAAACTATAATTAATAATAATTTTTAACTCAAATAACAGAAATTGACACAGATATAACTTGAAATGTTTGGTATGTTGGATATATAGCAGTTTGGATACGTATCATATCCATTTCGAAAGAGAAAACACTGTCTCTGCATTAAAAAAATAATTGTTTTTTCCTTCCTTCCATGAACCACTTCATATAAATCTATAAAAGTTAGGGGTTTCGTACTTCAGAAACATCGAGAGATATTTTTTATACTTTATAATCCAAATGTTCCTATTAGCAATAAACCAATATTTTTGTGCTTATTCAAAAAACCTCATTCAGTAACCTCTCTACTGTTCATCACAGTCTTACTATGATTTCGTCGTGGTGAACAACTATTTTTCAACTCTGGAAATTTGAAAGATGATATACTTCAATATTGCTTCAAGTATCTTAAGATATAGTTGAGGTGAATTGGATTATTGCGAATTTGTTTTATTTCAGATATTTCACAAAATATTTTTTTTATTGTATGATGTTCAATAGAATTATCTGTCCTGTGAAAATTAATACAATCCATTCGTCAAGGACGATAACATCGTTCTGGAGAACAGTTTCTCAAATGTTGAAAGGCATTATTTTTTGAACTGATTAAATGATCAGTACTTTCACTCAGTTGGGTTAGTAGTTCCGTTTTCACAGTTGAATTGCATAGGCTTCCCTTTATATTTATCTATTGGAAACTTGTGTGAGCCGAGGTTTGACGAGGTCTAACCTTTCAACTGGAATTCCTAGCACGGATTTTTTTATTGTATTTTCAAATAATTTCTGCTATATTTTATTCTCATGAGATAAAAATGTGAGTTATGTGAGTTATATGATATTACATATATTGTAAATGATGAACCACCGAAAATATACCACATGCAGAACTGCCAGGGAAAAACGTTATTGCAAACGTTCGAAAACATGTCGCGACATGTAAGAGTCGCGAGTTTTGACCTTGAAACCATTGCAACATGTCCAATCTTCTATACTGAAATTCCGTAATAGTAGGCACTAAATTCATGTATTGATATGATATGATATGATAAAATATATAGAATCACAAATGATGAAATATATAGAATCACAATGAAAAAATATATATCTGAGGAATTAGTGGCTACTATTATGGAATTTCAGTATATCAGTGAATGATTGCAGTTTCAAACGTTCAGCGAGTATCAGGTTTTTGCTTACCAAAAGATTCAAATATTTCGTCTTGCGAAATGAACAGAAGTATACAAAAATATATTATAAGCGTACTTGATGTGTGTTTTTTCGAAAAAGTGTAATTTCTGAAATGTCAATAGGCCGATAACTATCCAAGGGTTATTTACATGGTACAAAAATTTCTATACGCTGGAAATGTTTGTACCATTTGGAAATTTTCTTCTGGATCCCTTGTTTCTTCCGGAATTCATTCACCATACCATTATTTTCAACACCTCGAGACGTGCTTCGATCACCAAGTGATCGCACACACAAGGAAGATTGAACTAAATGTACGTACAATGTTATTCTTATTTATACCATAGATACCTCTGCTAAGTACCTGCATCTCAAGTGTCTTAAATTAATTTCACAATGTTGCCTTATTTACTGGTCTTGAATTAATTTTACAATGTGTTCTTATGCAATATTCAGGCATCTAGATGCCTACGAGAGTATCAGATTTACCTGAGTATTACATCAGGACAGATTGTAAAATCAATTTAAGACTAGTAAAGGCATCAATGTGAAATTAATTCAAAACACTTAAGACACAGGTACCTAGCAGAGGTATCTATGGTAGGTATACGTAGTTGTACGTATATTTAGTTTAATCTGCCTCTTGAAGATGATCACTTGGTGATTGAAATAAGTATCAAGGTGTTAAAATAACGGTTTTGTGTTGCGATAGAACTCCAGCAATATTCCTCCACATTACTCACAAATAATATACATAGACTGAGGTAGACATTATCAAATGCGCTGAGGCAACGAACAAAGTACTGTGGTAGTCATCAAAACAGACGAAACGTCAGACATCAAAATTGTAGACTACGGCCATGAAAGTTTACTCGTATGTAGGTTAGCCGGAAAAGATTTTCAGATTGAATTCATTACTGTTATCATAATTAGTTTTCACAGGAAATCCATTCAAATTTTACATTTTTCCAAACGAGTAAACCTATTTACAAAAGTAAAGCATCAATTGATTTGTAAGTCGAAATGAGGTATTACTCGACTCCTAATAATTTTTTAATCAAAACTTGTCTCTCAAATTTGGCGTATTTTGGATGTTTGTGAACAGTTCTTCTTTCGGCAACTCTTAGTTGATGTACGTTTTAGATGGCTCATCATATATGTTTAACTTGGATATATTTTCTATATTGAAGGTGATATTATCATCATCATTTGATTATTATTGTTTATTTCATAGTACTTTGTTCATAACTGATATTTTTGTTATTATAATGGTAGTTTAATGGTAATAAATATTTAAAAGATATGAACATTTTTCAAAAATCAAATTGAAAAGCAGTTTCTACAATTCCATTTAAAATTAATTAATCCTGGCAAGTGCGTTATTATTAAAAAGAATACATCATTTTCAAGACGAAGCTGAATTGAAAATATCACTTTCTTTGAATTTTCTGTGTTGTAACTATCAGTTACCATTTTCCTATTCTCTTTCAAAACTGAGTTTGATAGTGGCAGAACAACTTTCTGACAAAAAAATTGTTTGAGTTTAATTTTTTCAGTTATCAAAATATAAATCAGTCTACCTATGAATGGTCAATATTGTAACTGACGTGTAAATAAGAAATATTTCCCATCTGTAAATAGTTGTTAGATCTACTTATGTCATATGATATCTGAATGCATTTTACTGCACTCACTTGACCAACATCCTGCCAATTAACTTTCCCAAATCAAAGGAAATATCCAAAATGTTAATTACTTAAGCAGCGCAAGCACCATGATGAAAGCGTAGCAGCAAAGATGGCAAAATAACAAAAATAACTACTTACTTAAAAATAAAAAAAATCTAAATATAACTGCTTACGCCATCAACTTTTTGAGGAATGCTGCAAATTGGCAAGAAAATCTTCATTATTATGAGTTCACAAATAAAAAATTGTTTTTTACATTTTGTTTATTTAGTTACCAGGATAAATGGGTTCAATAGAGCCGAAAATATTACTGTCGTGATAAAAATAGATTCCCTTGTTCGTGGATCAAACTTGGATGAAACCCAGTGCTCGACAAAACTTTTACGTCATCCACAGGGAATGAGAAATTAACTAGTTAAATTTTGAGAAAGGCCACCTGTGAGTAACAGAAACCACAGGTCTTGTCAAAATTTCATGGAAATGAAATAATGTGAATTCAATTACAGAAAAAGACACATGAATACAGAATAATTTAGGTGACGAAAGAGTGAATCATCTATTCAGTTTGACGTTGTATAAAATTACTGCTAACATCTAATTTCCATTGAATTAAAAAAATATAGTGCCTCAATGAGTGCCGTATTGAAATATTTTTTTGATCATGAATCATGGCTTTATCTATTACCTATATTATTTAGGAAATACACCATTTTCTTTGTGTATTTCTTTTTGACAAGCATCGGGTTTTTCAGTCTGAGGTAACTACATTGTGGATATAATGTGTACAGTGAGAGTTAGATTATATTGAAGAAAAAACTGCTAGATGTATTATATTTTTCAGATTTCAGCCTCCAAAACATCAAGAGAAGAATCTGTATAATTTATTAGCTCTCTTTTGTTAGGAAAATTATCAAATACGACAAATATAATTTTTTCATTTGTTTATTTGAGTTTACCAATTTACTTATCGCGGTGAAATGAAAAGTTTGCCCTTTCTACACCTGTATCAAGTTCTCCATTACAATTCTCAGATTGTGGAAGGTGAGAAATCCATGAAAGGTCAATACGTATTGAATATAAAAAATGATTTTCGTGTAACTCAATGTTCGTTTGAAAGTAGTTGTTTTGAAAGGATTTCTTTCTTTTAATGAACAAACCATTGAATTATGTAGTAGGTACTTACGTTCGTAAGGGATGAAACCATCATCATCTTCTTGTCCCATGCAATCTGCTAACACTTCTTCTGTTTCAGCATCTGATAACCTTTCACCTGGAATGAAATATTTTATTGGTCATAATCATTGTGCTTTCCTGTCAAATATATTCAATACTTGGTGGGGCCCGCGACTTCGTTCGCGTAAACTTGAGTTTTAGAGTTCCAACAGATTTTCTAACAGCAAAATGTTCCCATCTATTTACATATCTTTGATTCTCGAATAAAATTGTTTTAGAAACTTCTAATATAGTTTACCAAAATTTTAGTCAAATCAATTAAACAGTATTGACATAACTCTTTATTTATGAACCAATTGCATTGAATCAAATACTAAATGTTAAGTGAAGCTATACATAATACTTTACAGCAAAAACCGCATCCAAACCGATTGCGCCTTTTTTTATATTATTGCATACAAACGCACAGAAAAGCAGATTTACACTTTCATCGTATATGTATTGAACTGGTTGGTTATGAATCCAGGTCATGTTTCAAGATTGTTTCTCCAAAAGAGGAAGACCTCATTATATTTCCGATGAAGAGCCTTCGATCATTGAAATTGTAAGAATAAGTGAAACTACAATTCTTCAAGGTATATTTCTTTTAAAATCATCAACAAAAAAAGTAAAACTTGAAGACCGGAGAACGTGCTTGATGATGGAAACAAAGCAACGTTTACGAGATTTAACAGAGTCCAGAATACTTCTTCACGACAAGAAAATGTAAAAAATAATAACAAGGTACATACAAGGTAGGCTATGTAATATCAGATATTTGAAATTTATCATTAAGATGACAGATTTAATTTATTTTAGGGTCAGTGTATTACCCCTTCTTCTGCCGTACTGGTGGGACCAGAACTTAGCTTCTGGGTAGAACCTGTAAATTCTTTTTCAGAAATACTGAGTACTTCATCATATTTATGAACTGATCAATGAAGTTTTCTACTTCTTTCAAGTATATTGACTTTTTTAGATTTGAACATTCTTGATGCTGTACCGTCATATAATTAGAAACGAGAAAAACTACTTTCGGGGAGAAGAGTGTATATGAATACTGATCTGTTCAAAATAACACGATTTGTTGACGAAATAACCTCTTTTCAACGTGAAGCACATTTTTATGGTCGATAGGTTACCAATAACCTGAAAAAGCTACGCTTGGGTGTGTAACTATCTGAGGAGTAGGTAGATTGGACCTCAATGCAGTCTTTTCAGTTCTTGGAAATGGCTTCAAAGTCAAAGCCGAAACGTCGAACAATAAAAAACTCAAGAGGCGATTCAACCCGAACCCAGTATTCTTATGCATCACCGTCTACTTTCGAATATAAGAAGATTGTAATGGAAGATGGAGTCATCAAAAGTATTGGAAATGTCGGGTAATATCCAGTGAAATGAGAAGTTCTGATGACACGAATTGTGGGGAAACAAAAAATAATGAGCCATATCATATTTGTGAGAAATTTGAGAATGTGCATCCAAAAATTGGTATTACCCCCCAAAAAACACTTTTGAACTCACCAAGAGAAAGAAGTGTGTGGGCAAGTTCTGCAGCCATCATGGTACCATTCTCTTCCTTGTCGTACAGTTTCAAACATTCCAAGAAATCGTCAAAGTTTCCTTGTTCTTTGTCTTTTTTTACTTGGCTGAAGATGGGAAGGAATTCATCCACTTTCAATTTCTTTTCATCTGAGAATAAATAATATCAATAGTTTTTCGTTCAACTCATTCTTTCAGATTCTATCGAATTATGTACTCACTCTTCTTCTTGGTTCCACCCAATTTTTCAATTGTAACCAATGTTGGGTTGAGGTTGAGGGCTCGGAGCATGTCTCCTAAGTTAACAGCATCAACAGTGCCATTGCCTTCAAAATCGTAGATGGAGAAGACAAAATTTGCCCCTGAAACATAAATTTTCATTATGTTTGGAGATATTTGGGAATATGTAAAGTGAATAGAGAATAATTGGGATCACAGGGGCTTTTCTTGAGAAAGCAAAGGAAAAATATTGAAATTTGATTGAAATTATTTGAAAAATTGTAAGTAAAGAAAAGTTTGTATTGAAGTTACACAACTTATTCAGCAATAAAAATGAAAACGGTTTATTTGAGTTAAAATTACGACAAAATCAAAACGTGAAGAGCCTTACTTGATAGGCTTGGACGATACTTGAACGATAAATAAAATACTAAAGTGCCCTACACACATTTTTAAAGTACATCAAAATGAAATAATATTAATTTTTGCCAATTACACAATTGTTTGGTGATCGAAACACGTGTCGAGGTGTTAAAAATAACGATTTGGTGTTGGGAAAAAACTCCAGTAGTATTCATTACTACACCAAAGTTTCCAAACAGTGCGTCATAAGTACACAATGGAATTGTTTTTGAATATAAATATAAATGTGAAATTATTAAAAACTTTTCAATGTCTACCGAAAAATGGTTCATTATGTAGAAAGTGAAAAAAATTAAGGTAATTTTTTTTGGCTGTTCGCTTACATTTGTTGAATTTACATCATAGATGAGTGGAAGATTAATTTTCATTCACTTCATAACCTAAGTAAGTTGATATTGATATCAGTAAATGATGATAATACTGCAAGTAAACTGATCAAAGTGAAATCTGAAAACTTCAGAGGAAGTATAGGGAACAAAAAAGGACCATACCGAATTATTGAAACAAATTACATTATGATGCTTCAATAGCTTCAATTATACAGGGTAGTTTATCGATTTATTAAATACATTCAATAATATTCAATATAAAAGCAGACAAACTCTTTTTCTAAAAACAGAACTAACGTTTTCAGTAAGGGGATAATAAGTTTTCAAAACATTATAAATTGAAAATATTCATTAAAATTCCAATGACTAATTCAAAAATCGTTGACTCACAGTCAATTATTTGTAATTAACTCATTTATAATCATGACAGCAGACGAGTATGTCACCCAATGTCATTATTAGAATGAACTAGGTCACTATTACAAAATAATAATGGAAACGAAACGAAAACTCCGTCCATTCTAATTATAGTGAACTTTTATTTCTGTTACTAAATTAGATCTGCCCTCTCTGTAGTCCCTGGCAAGTCTTGCCTTATAAGATCCCGATTTAAATTTAGCCAGAAGTGTTGCGTGGCACAAAAATATTCAACTACCACACGTTTCATTTGAATAAATAAATATCTACTCACTTTCAACGTCTCTGGCACTAAGATCAGCCTGAAATGGATAATATTTTTTTAGTTATATCACAGTGGCTTGTATTCATACTGAAAAATGGAATGAATTGGAGGTCAATACTCTTAATGTTCTCAGAGGGTTGATTGTTTTTGAAAAGAATTTGCAACTTATTGAGTTTAAGACAATATCGTCGCTAACAATATAATAATGGTAGGTAATCATATAGTGAACAAATTTTTAGTTGGAACCAAGAATTTAAAAAAAATGATTTTCGTCATAAAATAATAGAGATTTTGTTTTATAAATGAATGTAACAGAAAGCACACTGCTTTTAAAATTTTGATTAGATTCTACAGGTTAAAAAAAGTTGCATTTGATTTTTGTTATTCACCATATGCCTAATCTAAGCTTGGCAATATATACAGTCATTCAAATTTATGAAAATCGAATGCATTTATAAAATACCATTCCAAATTCATCCATTTTCCAGTGCTTATAGGTTATGAAGTAGTTACGGACACAAACACGAAAGAACAGATAGATACAGGTCAGATAGAAACATAGATACATACATACAAAATAGACAGAAAAGAAAGTTATGTAAGTTGATACGACACTACATCAGAAACACAGATAGACAGAAAAGAAAGTTATGTAAGTTGATACGACACTACATCAGAAACACCAAAATGGCCCAATACTACCAAAACATTTTTGCTGGCAAATTACAAGAAATTATGTAAACCCCCAGAATATTCAAACTGAATATTACTTGAGATGAGCAAGTAGCAAGGTGCAAATGTGAATCTCTAAGAGTTTATTGGAAATATTTTAGAAAGCGATAAAGAAACATGAAAACAAGCGTATTCTTGTAATATCAGCTATCACCTTTCCACCTTTCTCATGTTTCACTTTTCCACAATTTCTTTAAAATTTGTCCAGCACTGTACACTATCAAAAAGCACATATAAAAACCAAATCGGACGGACACTTCACAACATATATAATCCAAATTTAAATCCAAATCCAAAATACCTATTGGCGAATGAAATTTCTGAAAGGAAATCATTGTAAAAAATACTTTGAAAGTGAGAAAAGTTCAATACTATTTTCGATTTGTAAATCTTCTTTTTCCAGAACTTGAAAGCTCTGACATAAGCCGGTTCACCCAAGCTGGATTTCGGTTCCATTTTCGAAAATCCAAACAGAAAAAGTTACACAAAAGTCGTGCTCGTTGTTTTAAAAACTACTTACCATTGTGTGATTGTACTGCTAACTTGCCTTCTAGTAAGAAATGACCAGAAGTGGAGCAAGGAGTAAGACGGGACCCAAGTTTTATATGAATAGATGGCGCTTCGGTGCCCGACCGTTCACTGAAACTGAAACCCCTGAAAACCGGCTCAGACTGATGAACGCAACTTGGCAACGAGGTAGAGACAGGTATCTGGAGGATCCTCGTCGGTTACGAGTAAAGATTTGGAATCCGTATATGTGCCCAAAATGATATATGCGATATTGCCAGTGGCGTTCACAGAAATAATTGATGATCGTTTCAAATAGAGAAGTTCTAATGTGTCATTGATCAATGCGGCTGCGTGATATTAAGGCTAGGTGAAATCACAGTTATAATGTGGTTTCCGAAAGAGTTGAATCCTACCAGTGAGATGCCGGTATCCGATTTTCGAAACACGTTATGTAATACACTGTGACCCACATGAATGCAAGATACCTGCCTGAAACTCGCATCTTTTCTAGAACTTCATTTTGAATTTTAGAGCTCAAAAAATGTACTTTGGGACCCAAAATCTGCTGCGCATATTTTACAGGTTGAAATACAAGAAATCGTATTAGCGATTTTTTAGGGAAAATTTAAATTTAAACATAACTTTCGTTGAATATATTTTTTATATTTTGTGAAGCGGTAGGAATTAGTTCATGGGAGAACTAAGTGTGCGAGATGAAATTGAACGTATAAATTATGGTTTAAAAGAAACAGGTTGTGTATCAAGGCATATGCTCAAAAACAAAAACAATCCACATCGGGAGAATAGAAATACTGTGGGAATATTTGCAATATTTTCGTAACAATCCTCATTCAAGCTGGCGAACGGCTTCTACGTTCACTACAAATAGAGTAGTTTCGTCCCATAATTCAAGGTACTGGTCTGAGGATAATCCTAATTGGATTATAAACTTAAAAAGGCAATATTCCCATAAAATAAATCTGTTTTAAAAAAATCTGTTTTCAAAATCTGTTTTTCCGTTAATCAGCTGTCGCCCCCATACGAACGACAATATATATCTTACCAGTAAAGGTTCAGTCAGGTGGGTCTTCTGTACAAAATGCTGGTATATAAGAGAATTATGGAAATCGATGTATAGGTCGACATAGTGACCGCCAAGATCACTGGACCTGACACTGCTAGATTTTTTCCTTTGGGGTACTGTGAATCAAAAAAGTTCACAAGTCCCAGACCGCAGTCAGTAGATGAACTGCGCGTCAGAATATCTGCAGCTTGTGTAGAAATTACAACAGAACAAACGAGAAAAGTTATATTGAAACAAGAAAAATTTGATGAACGTTCATTCCTATTTTTGTGGTAGAAGTCCATTATATCTTAAAGTGGAGTGCAGTAGATTTGCGAAGCATAAAAACCATAGTTTTGATATTGATTCTGATTTAGATATTTTACATGTTTACCAAAAAGACACTTTACTTAATTTACTTGAAATTTTTGAAGTCGAGTCTGCAATTAATAACCCCAATGTTATCTCTCTTAATGAACTAGTACAGTTAGCTTGCCAAAAGTTTTTCCATTCTCTTAATTTTAAGTGAATTTCCCTTGCTTTGATCTTCCATAAACCCTTATTTCATTCATTTTATTAGTATGATTGTACAGTTGTTTGGTGGTCAGCTCCAGTTGTTTGACACCTTTTCTTCATTCCTTGTATGGGCAATAGATGGCTCGAATGGTGGTACTGATCTGAAAAATTGTTCTTCCAACCTTATTGATCTTATAATTCAACTCATAGGATTACTTTCACAAATTATTGTAACAAGATGGCATGTATAGATGGCATGGGATCTGTTTGCTCAGGACACCAGTTGATATGTATGTGGTGGTTCATCTTCTGTTGTGTTCTGTGTTTGCAGATCTCTTGTTAGTGTTCTTTGTCATCTCGATTTTATTTCTTTGTTTTTATGCTTCGCAAATTCCTATTTCTCTCTACAATAATTTGTTGAATATTATTTTTCAATTGTTTAATTTTTCCAGGAAACAATCAATCAGAATAAATATGTTCATTCGTTTATTTAATTTGCCACAGAGTTTTCAACGATTATTCGTTGTATATTTTACTTTTCCGTACATCATATACCTACTTGAATTAATTCATTATAATGATTCGAACACAGAATAATTAATATTAATTATTTCTTATGAAATTTGGTATACTACCATTTGAGAGGGTGCCCAGTCCAATGATGATTTCAAATTACTCCTAAAAAACTTACTAATTCGATATTTTGTATTTTAACCTATAAAAATATCCGCAGCAGGTTTTAGTTTTTGTAGAATGAAAATAATAACTGGTATCAAATAACAGTTCAATGTGTCCCGCTTTTAAGTGGGTGTCACATCATATATATTTTTCAATTTATAGAAGATTCCAAAAATTTCAACTTTCGAAGTCGATGACAAGTTCTTGCGTAATAAGAGTAGGCAACTCTGAAAATGTTTAAAACTTACTTTTGTTTGGAATTATAAGAGCTATGTACATTTCATTTTTGTTGTTCATTTCCTTAAGCAAAAGAACGTACGACATTTTGACGAATGGACACGGACATATCTCAAGAAGCTCTAGTTTTACTTCTAGTGAATCAAATAGCTCTGTAAATGGAGCAAGTAGTTGCAACAGCAACTCTCCCAGTGAATTATCAACTATTGAAATTTACAAGGAAAACAGGTGAAAGTTTTTTCTGATACTAATAACGCTGACAGGAATATTTTTATTTTATCTGCAATTATTGGAAAACTTGGAAGCTCAATTGATTCACGAATTGAGTTTGGAACTTGGAATGAACTCGAGCAAGCCATAGAATTGAGTTTTTAAGTAAAACGAAATATTGATTGAATTTTATTAGTTTGCAATGAAATGGTGAATTTTATTAGTCCAAAAAGTCGGAACTGATGAAATTCACCATGTAACATTGTCAACCACTTTCAAATAAAAGAAATATTGATTGTTCCGTACAATATTTACTCGCTTTATATCAATTCAAATTGAAACATGAAGTAATTTTTGTATTCATTGTCGAAATGAAAGAAGTCTAATGAATTTTGAATTGAAATTTATTGGCTGCAGATCAAACTTTCATTACATCTCTGAATACTCACGAGAATTTAATTAAGAATGAATGGCAATTGGATTGTCACTTCCACCAGTTATAGCCAACATTTATAAGGAGTGGTTTGAAAGTCTGGCCATTGAAGAAGCCCACAAGAAACCTCGTGTCTGATTGAGGTACGTTAACGACACCTTTACAATATGGAACCATGGGCATACTGAACTAGACGCCTTTCTGAAACACATCAACAGCGTTAAACCTTCCATCACTTTCACAATGGAGAATGAAGTCCACAACGAATGCCATTCTTAGACATATTAGTGAAGAGGACCGACAATAAGTGGGAAACATCTGTATACCGAAAACCCAGTCTTACGGGACAGTATCTAAACCACAAATCCAACCACCATCAATCGACTAAAAGAGGAATCTTCAAGACTCTATCAGACCGTGCTTTCGGGCTCTGTATTACGAAGGAAGGTCTCGTGAAGAAACTAGATATCATTAAAAATGATCTTCAACGGAATGGCTACTTCGAAGCGATGGTGGAACAGAGTCTAGCTAAAAGACAGCAGGAGCCTCAAAAGGAAGAGAAGCCAGTGCTTGCACTTTTTCACATCAGAGGGTTATCGAAAAGGATAAGAATACAACATCAGGTTCCGAAAAAGACTATCCGTAGCAGCCTCACGAAAACCAGGCCACCAAACGCGGACTGTGATTCCAAGAATTGCATTTACGGGATACCTTGTGAGTGCGGAAAATCCTATATCGGCGAAACTAAGAGGTCATTGAATGTTTGCATTGCCGAGCACAAGAAACACACACAGCGAAGGGAAACCAGCAAATCAGGAATAGCAGAACATGTTTGGACCCATCAACATAACTTCGAGTGGTCTCAAGCTGAGATCATACACAGGAAGGTACATTGGTTCAGGAGGAAATTCAAAGAAGCCGCATGTTGTCCAACAACGTATTCAGCCAAGCTAGCGTAGAGATATGCAGCACATGGAAACCCACAATTAAATGAAAAATGGCCAACTCCCGCCAAACGGTCATCTCCCACTAAACCGGTGAAGCGGAAAAAGGAAAGCGAAGATAAGTGAAAGTACTCGAATGATCCATAAATAGTCATCTCTCGGAGAAATTAGTCCAGTCATCACCTGAAGACGATTGTAGATACTAACAATGGAAACGTCGTGAAGTAACTTGGTTTGGAATCTCTCAACTTTTTACATTTTTCAAAAGTACTGATGATTAAAATGTATCTTTGGGAGCAATCCACCATATCATATTATTCATATGATAATGATTGGACAAAAAATAGAAGTCATTTGAAATAATGTAAAAGTTGAAATATTTTCCTTTAAAGTTGACATTTTTCGTTTGTAGGGAGTTGAAACTAAGCATCCGAAAAATGAAGCTAACTCATCTTTTCCTTTTTCATGCTATTTCCTAGACGGGAGAAGTTTTTTTTGTGGCTTACTTGCGACTGATGTCTCCAACCACTGAACATTTCAAAGAAACGATTTTTGTTTCCTTTTCAGCGACTCTCAGTAAAATGAATCTGTAATACATTACCCTAAATATATTTTCAGCATGCGACCCTGTTCGATTCTATAATTAAATCTAACAAATAGTGGGAGCTGTAGTAAAATAGAATGTGGAACGTGGAGAGAGAATTCCTCCAGGTGCTTTTTGGGTAAAAATATTCACTTGAATGAGTTGTCAACGGTGACTAATACTTTGGCGAAGTCTGTTTCAATCGTCAGTAGCAGATGCGAGATTTTTTGATCAATATCTATTATTGGCAAAAAGAAACCTAATATGCATTTTTTAACGCACATAATTATTTGTTTTAGAATATAAATGTCCTACATGAATTTTCATAGAAAATCAAAATATAACCTTGCCAATTATACAGTGTCACCATCAAAATCTACAATTATGTTTTTTTTATTAACACTCCCAATAAATTAGACTTAATTTTTTGGTATTTTGTTTGAATCAGATTGAAAATATTATGAACCTTTATGATTGCTGGATGTCAAATCAAAATTGTCAGTTTATTAAAAAATGAGAAGTAG